ACAGAAGTTTTCTCTGTCTCGAGTTATGTTTTCTCCCCTGTTTTGAGATAAAAGGATGGGGGGGGTTAAAAAAAATCAGTTCATCGAACTGCCACCTTCCCCCTTCCTTTTCGTCCATCCGCCACTTCGCTAACTTTCCCCCTCCGCTCCCAGAGGTGTCTCTTCAACTTGTTCTGACTTTAAAAGCGATTAAATTTAACTTCTTTTCAAAGCAAATTTAAAAAAAAATCCGCTCCTGGACTCCGCGCGGCTGTTTCTTCACCCCCGGGTTATGCAGAGACGGTTTGCTGTTGCAGGGTTTGGCACCTCTGATGAGAATTTGGGGTTTGCTGTTTTTTCTGTAGCCGGGCTGTCGGGTTTGGCTCCGACCGGCGGTGTCCCCGGCACAGACGAGTCGTGGGTACGTAGCACGGGCCAAGCGACCCCGTCCTGCAGTTTCTTTTCATGTTGCGAGTTTCTGGACACATGGTGTGAATGCAAATGGAAACGGGGAGAGGAAGATGGGAGCTGGTTCTTAGCTCCTTCTTAAAGAAACCTGCCTCTGCTTTGCTTCCCTCATCCCCTGTCCCCCCCCCTTTTCAGCACATCCTCAGCTAGGAAAAGCAGGTTGGTTTCCAGCTGCCATTGATTTCACTGACTTCTCCAGAGCCATCGTGTCCTGCTCCATTCGCTGGCAGTCCCAGACTAGTCACTTCTGGAAGTCGAAATAGGACTTCGGGAAGCACGCGCTCGCTGTCCTTGACTTGGCTTCTGCGGTTTGTTGTGATGAACGAAGCCTGGCGCGGTACAAAAAGCATCTTCGGTTAAATTTGGGACTTTATCCATGTGTCTATTTGAGTGCCAGTTTCTATTCCATTTTTGTAATCGGTGATTTGGGTGCTGCTTTTTCACGAAGGGAGCGAGCTCTTCTTTGTGTATAATATCAAGGACTGAACTGAATTACTAACGTGGAACAAACTAACTAGAGTCCCTTTTTGCTCTTGGAAGATCCTCAGTCAGATCCTTGACATCATTGTATTCATTCTGATTTGACCCTTTTTTTTTTAATTGCTAACTTTTCAGCTCGTTAACTGGTTGAGAATCCTTTGCTATGGGTGTGTAATAATCGCCACTCAAAATAGCTACTTATCTAAAGGAAAGATGCTCTTGGGTATAAGGCACTAGACTTAGACTGTGAAGATCGGGTTCGATTTCTGGCTTTGGTGGGTGCTTTTTGTGTTACTTTGAAGTTAGTGATGCCAAGAGCCTGAAATCTGGCCACTCATAACAGGGGGCAGATAGATAAAAGTTGTCATCACCCAGCAGCTCCCGTTCTGATAACTGCTGAGTCTGGAAAATCTGGAGCTGATGTGTCTCTCTCTCCAACCCCCCC